TTTAAAACATGTAAATGGTATCAAGAGCTTTTGTGGGTATAACCCGCTGAAGTATTTCCATTGTAACCTTCACAGAATTTTATAACTGGGTTATAAAAATCAATTTAAAGCTAAAACTTGTGTCCCCCAAAAACCAAACACTTTCTGCGCATATTGCTAAAAAGGGGGGCTTTATTTTTTACAAACAGAAAGAATGAGTATGTGAACTTGTCACCATACAATGGTCTTCCAATAAGAAAAATACTACTGCTACTACCACATTAGGAAGAATGCTCAAGAAAAATGTTACTTATGGGACATCTGCATTTTATTATCAACAATAATATAAACTAGTTGATGTGCATCTGACTAATGTACAAGTCAGCAAAGAGAATTTGGGTAATTATGTGATTTCTTAATAAAAATTAGGATATTATATGGACTATGAAAGGGTCATGGGTGAAATCTTGTCCTCCTTAAAAATAAATGACAACTACCATTGACTTCAATAGGGCCATGATTTCACCCAACGTTAGGTACAACCACTGAGATATGTAACCCTGAAGTATCTGTGTAATCAGTACAGTTGAGTACAGTTCATGAATTTCAGATTCAGGCACCAAGGACCCACTACAGTACACACTCTGAGCAGCTCCACGGACTTCAATTATTAATTTTTCAACTATTAATTTGAATTCTATCCTAATAATACTTGTCTTTTTAAGCACCTACTGAGTTGCTTTAGGGATACCATGAAATGGAAAATGGAAAATGGAAAAATCTATATGATCACGTACAGGAGAAAAGGTGGTCACTGAGTCAATTTCCTTGTTTAGGTGAGGTGTAGAAAATGAATTTGTTTAGGTCCCCATGCACTTGTAACAATACATACAATCTATCAACTGAAGTGGGTTCAGGGAAGAACCAAAAGGATAACCAGAAAATATGTCTTAGAGGGATAGACTCAAATAGCTGTGTGATAAATGGGAGGGGTATTACCCTTTTCTAGACACCACAGCCATTCAGTTAACTTTATTGCCTGTAAGGGTTCAACCCAGAGAGTCCTTAAAAGTCTCCAGGAAGTGTTGGCAGGGAGTCAGCAAAGCCAATGAAAAGAGAGTGTGTTTTGAACTGAAGCAGGATCCTCCTGCTGCAGTTTTTTGTGTGATCAGAGCAAGAGCTGGAAGAGTGAGTTAATCCAGGACAAGACATGGAATTTCCACAAATATCCATGGCTAGGAAAGTCTAAACCTTGAAACAAGCAGAACAGGGAATATTTAGTTAGATGTAATCAGGTTATTTTATTTATTTTTGGTTTTGTTGAACCCCCTCTCCTCTTTGCTGAGCCCAAGTACCCCCTTGTACACTGTAACTTTTAAACTGAATCCCAGGGAAGCAGTTACCTATATTTTTAATATGTCTTTTTTCAGTTGCTCTAACACCAAGCAACCAAGTATGCTTTAAAAAGTATGTCTTCTTTGTTTTGTTAATAAAATAAAATCACCTTTTTTCAGACTATTGTGGTGGAGTAAAGCAACCTCACCACTGCCCCAGGCCGAGGGAGGTTCAGGGGGGGCGAAGACGCCGGCACCCGCACTACATGGGAAGCAGCAGGGCCGGCCTTGAGGCCATTGGATGGGCAAGGGGGAGGGGTCGCATGGGAAATGGGGGCTTCACAGGCAGCCGCAGGCCCCCTCCGGGAGCGTGACGTCAGGCGGGCGACCAGAGACGCCCATAGGGAAGGGGGTAAGGCCGGGGAGGAGTGTGACATCACCAGCCGAGCCCAGGGACGGAGGTAAAAGAGGGACGCCCAGGCAGGAGAGGAGAAAGGAGGAACAGGAGGAGGAGTGCAGGGAGACAGAGGCACTGGAGGAGAGGTGTGTGGGGGAACCCGGGAGCGGGGGCACAGCAAGCGCACATTGCACCCGCTATCTGAGCCCGGGCAGTGGAGCTGAGCAGTAGCCCAGGGCGGGGTCGCGAAGCCTGCAAGCAAACGCGTTTAGGGGCAACACCCCCATTTGCTACAGTAGGGAGCTTAGCTCCCTGAGTTAGGGCCCTGGGTCGGGGCCTGGGAGAATGGGTGGGCCCAGGCCCCCCACTCCACCATCCGAAGGCGATTCTCGAGGCCCAGTCGGAGCTGTTCACTGGCCCCAGGGCGATCTACCTGCGTTTGCCTCTGAACTAGACGGCGACTGGGTGTGGGAAAATGCATGATTAAATAAAAGGGTGAAATTCGCATAAACTACGAGTGCAGACTTGTGACAACTATGATCTGATTCCTGTGTCCTAGAAAGCAGAAGGTTCTGTGTGCACACATCTGAGACTGAAAGATCAGTTATTAAGAAATTACAGGTTGCTGTTTTTTCCCCACAAGCTCTCTCCTGAGGAAGGAGATGTCGGCAGACGGATGCAAATTAGATGTATCCAAAGTGCAAATGAAGCCAGGATTTAAATAGCCCACAGTTCATTTGCGTAATGGTGGCCGACGCTTTTTTTTTTTAAACGGGGCTTTTCAGAAGAAAACACAGCAGATTAGACGGGGCATTTTTGACAGAAATTCCCTGTTTCAAAAGATCTTGTACTCCGAGGACAGCGGTCATATCATCCCATGCATAATAAATTCAATACAATCCATCTTAAAACTAGTTAGGTTGATTTCCCCCCACTAATCCTATTGTAAGCCTGTTCCAGAGCCTCACTCCTTCGATGTTTAGGAACTTTCTTCTAATTTCTAGCCTAAATTTATTCATGGCCAATTTATACGCATAAAATTTTTAGCTTAAGCTGCTTTCTCCCTTTCTGTTATTTACCTCTTTAATATATTTATAATGTGTGTCTACATAAGGTCTGGGAGTGAGCCTCCCATGCTGGGTCCACACAACTGTGCTAGTAGCACCTGCGCTAACATTTTAAAAATAGCTGCGTGAATGGTACCTTTATGATGCAGCTCAGACTGTTGTTTGGGTTCTGAAGCCCACTCCACAGCTGAGAGCCCAAGCTCAGGTTTCCAGCTGAGACAAATATACATATTTTTTCTAGTGCACAAGCATGAACCACCACAAGTCTGTCAACCCAGGTTGTGAGACTTGCTCCTGGCTGGTTAGAAATACCATAGACAGGAATCATATTCCCCTCTCACCCTTCATTTTGTTAAGTTCTACAAGCCAAACCCAGATTTCCATTCTCCTGCTCATCCTAGTACCCAATCTATGCAACCATTCCAATTTGAATTCAGCTTCCTTGAACACAGGTTCCCAGACTGGTGGCGAGGAAGGCATGGGTGATGGTGGCACAGTATATAACATGAAAAGAAAGATCACATTCTCCAAGCCAAAGATGGAAGGAACATGCCTGACAAGCACTGTTGGCTAGACAGCTGGAAGCAGCCAGGTATCCAACTGGTCTCCAGAGTTGTGCAACTTAGGAATCAAAAGCAGGAACATTTCACACCTGAAGGGACCAAAATCACTCCCATCATCTGTTCAGGTTGTTTCTCACAGTCTACCACTAGCACTTTATGGCTTTAACTAGGTGGGCTTCTACCAGCTAGCTGTCAATCAAACCCAGACCTTGGCCAGTCCCTGGGAATGCAAGCAACCATTCCCATGAAATAGAGACACAGAGCTAAAATCACCCCCACACGCCTAGTACTCCAATGAGTGAAGCTGGGAGCAGGAAAGCAATTGCCCAGAAGCTATCAGAGACCACTAAGAGAAAAAACAACAATGCCACTATACAGATATCCTTGCCAAGTCCCACACGCATGTCAATGCAGCAGCATCATGATACATGGTATCCAATGCTATGACAGATCTAAGTGAATCAATATTGGATCTTGGTATATTGCTACAAGACTATCATCCAGTGAGACCAACTTAACTTCTGTCCCATTCCCAGGTGTGAAAGTAGTAAAAAAAAAAGAAAAAAAAAACAACAACAAAAAAACCTTCTGAAAACACCAGCCGATGTGAATACTATAGCTCAAACTTCTCTCAATAACTTTCCCCAATTTCTAATGATAGCAGAGGATTTTGGGATTCAAAGCTTTTGGGTTTCCTTTTTTCTGGAGGACAAAGATGCTCACCTAAGAAAAATTGATCCAGAAGGGATCAATATATAAGAATTATTTTAAAAGTTAAAATTTGACATCACTACAAAAAATTCTATTCTAAGTAAGTTCTTTTCTTTAAGGAATTTTGGGGTCTGTACAGTATCATACTAACAATATAAACCAGTTACTTAATATTTACTCCTAACAGCCCTCTCTCCAACCATTCTATCCACATTCCACACAATATCCAACATCATTTCCTTACTGCTTGTGTTTTCAATAATTAGCACTGTCAACAATTCTGTGTATTCTTTTTAAAAAATTACAGGCAACTGAACCTCTTACACTCTTAATCAGATACCCAAAAGTCATCAGTAATGCTCACGTGAGTCAGTACTCAGTAAATGTAAGTAAAGTGTTCACTATCTGTCTGTTAGTACCTAAATAAGGGTCATAATGAAGCCTAACCACTGCTCACAGATAATACATCCCTTTTTATATCTTGTACCAAACACGTTATTTTAAACAGATATTTTAACATATTTTGGAATTCTACAACGTCATACAAAAATTTGAGGCTGATCCTCTGTTTGTTACTCATGGAAGTCATGAGCAACTGGCATAATTTTATAGGCTTTTAAAAACATTTAAAATAGTCTAAATGCTTTAAAACCTCTTGTTAAATGTATGTTTGAAAAATGTTACAATACATTCTATTCTGGGACATAATTGAAAAAGCAGCCTCATTCCAAAGCCAACATTTTATTACAGTTCCAAACTTTTGAACAGGACTATTCACGTGAGTAAAGGGTTGCATTACTGGTCCCTTTATTAAGATCACTCTGTTAGTCACCAGACAATAGCACAATTCAGCATATTCATCTGATCAGTTTCCATTATCATTAGTTTCTAACCTTGAACACTATAAATGACAAGGCAAAATAAATTAAGTACGGGAATAAAAACTAACCATCAGTAGTGCAAGATCCTTCTGGGGCAGGTTTTTGTGAATATGGGATTGGTGGACTACTAGAATCTGACATGTCTTCATCCTCCTCTTCGTCTTCCAATTCATTAACAGTTTGGTTATTAGAAAAATCCAGACTACCATTCTGTGTGTAACGATGTACCAATTCCTTGTCCAATTCTTCCACCTTTGGTTTCACATCTAAAAAGAACACAAAACCAGAATCAGGTCTACATCCACAGCAGTTTGAAGCAATATTATGCTAGGAAACAGAATGCCACAACCCTCTTTCTTTTGAGAGGCTCAAAAGATGGATTCTATGTCATAATGCAATTGAATTTTAAGTCAAAGAACTGAAATGAAATATTTTATAACCACAGTCCCCTAGTGTTTGACAATTTGAAGTGTACCATATTTGCATAATTACCTTCTGGCAAGAAAGGAGGTTGGTCCGGGTCCAGGTAGAGTTGAGAGAAAATTGGCCGTGGGACAACACTACTGCATCTCAAAGAGGCTTCTATAGAGTTGTGAAGAGCTTCTTCAAAACGGGCTGATTTCAGTTGCCCTGCATATGAATTCCCCATGATCTACCAAAATTTAAAAAAAAGATTGCTATTAAGGGAGTAGGGAAATATATATACGATACTATTTGCTCAAACAGATCATCTATGAATGAATACGTCATACAGTATAGTACTCAAGAAAGATTGAGAGTAGCAGTAACATTTCGTAGGTTAAAGCAAAATGCAGTGAAAAAGCCAGATGTTCCCATTTGATCTTGTTTGAATTTGGAAGCCTCCATTATTTGCTTGTTTCAGTAAGAGCTACTACTGCAGTCAGCACATCTCAAATACAGATGTTAAACAGTTAATCAGTAAGTATCGGAAAGCATGAGGCTTACTGGTATGCTTATCAGTTAACCAGTCCTTGCCAATGAACTCTGCCAGTAGCCAGCTACACTGGCAAAAAGCAGTCCTGGCCATGGAGGAGCTGGGGGGCTGGGCAGTGGGACCCCACAGAAGGACCTCATAGCTGCAGCGGTACCCCACAGCCACATTGGGTCTTGGCGATGGGCCACGTGGCAGGCCCTAGGTTAAAACGGCTAACGAGAGAAAGCACTAGCGTTTAACTTGTTAACCGCTTTAACATCCTTAATCTTAAATACATTAGTTACACGCTAATTCCCCCATCAATTTTACCTCAACACTTCTATCTGATGCAGAATTTAATGAAAGGCAGCTGAAATAATCTGAAGTGATGTGAATGAGTTTTAGTACAAGGTATACAATCCTACCTTTACTCTCTTTCATCTGTGTCTTCTGGGATTTAAGAAGGTGGATTTTGGTAGAGAACACAGGAACATGAAGAATGTACAAATTAGCTTCTCATTAAGGTCTTATCTAGACTATGTGGAACAGGAGAAAGAGGATATGCAATTCCGCGGGAATTTGCATATCTTCTTCC